TTTTTCATTTATCTTTTGTTGCTGTGCCTAGAAATAACAGAGTATCTGCTTGTATTTTTTTTGCAAAATATTCTCAGATGGTTGGCCTGCTATTTGAAATATCATTTACGATTAATACAAGTAGGTAAACTTGACAAACTAATTTCTGCTTCGTAATTTTGATTTTAGGAAAATATTTTACTCAACTTTGGTATTCAGCAATGAGATAAAAATGTACTAGACTGCTACTGTAAAGTACTGCAATAAATGACCTGCTTAATCAGCAACAACAGATGGATCAAACGAGGATATTTTCGAAAAATACAAAAAAATTAATATCTCAAAAACAGTTAAACTTTTACTGATTTTTTGGTATGTTGTAGATCTGCCTTTTGCCTATCTTCCCAATTTTTTGTCGTACTATTTATACTACTATTACTACTATTATTATATTATTTTTTTGTCGTACTATTTATACTACTATTATAAATAGTACGACAAAAAATAGGGAAGATAGGCAAAAGGCAGATCTACAACATACCAAAAAATCAGTAAAAGTTTAACTGTTTTTGAGATATTAATTTTTTGTATTTTTCGAAAATATCCTCGTTTGATCCATCTGTTGTTGCTGATTAAGCAGGTCATTTATTGCAGTACTTTGCAGTAGCAGTCTAGTACATTTTTATCTCATTGCTGAATACCAAAGTTGAGTAAAATATTTTCCTAAAATCAAAATTACGAAGCAGAAATTAGTTTGTCAAGTTTACCTACTTGTATTAATCGAAAATGATATTTCAAATAGCAGGCCAACCATCTGAGAATATTTTGCAAAAAAAAGCAGTTACTCTGTTATTTCTAGGCACAGCAACAAAAGATAAATGAAAAAAAGAGAGAGAAAAAAATCTAAATCTCATAAACAGTGAAACTTTTGAGTGTCATTTTTTGGTATGTTGTAGATCTGCCCTTCGCCTATCGCCCCTATTTTTTTGTCGTACTATTTACCGGACACCCTGTATAGCGGTAATTCATTTGTATAAGAGGTGGAGGGAATAAAATAGTTTTTTTTATAATTATTAGTTAATAATTAACGAACCAGTCTGCTATCTGGACTGAGGGCCGTATCGTCAGTCGTTCCTACAACTTCGGAAAGACTAGGGTATTTATAGTTTTCTACTATTCCGTGTTATGTTTTCTTCTTGAACTGTAGGAAATTCCAGGATGTTAAAACAGATGATATAAATGAACGATTTGATGCAAATAGATATCTGTGCCATAACCTCAAAATAAAGCGCTGACACGGAACAGTAGAAAACTATGAAAATCAAGGCATCCTACAATTGTAGGAACGGCTGACGTTACGGCCCTTAATCTGTCTCAATTTCTTCTTTTAATGGTGTACAAGTTCTGGCTTTATGGATGACGGTGGTGCCATCTCCAAATCCTATTTTTTTACTTTTTGTTGATAGATTATACAAGTCGTTGATATATGTCTGCGAAAGGATGGGAAATCTCGAAACTGGAGATACTACACACCAAAATATGTGAATTGACCTAAACATACCTTAGCCCAAAGGTTGATAGTTTGCGAGATACAGGGTGTCAAAGTTACAATTTTATGTTCTATTTTTCCTTATTGCTTGAGAAGTATTTCAAATTTTGTCGTAAAACTCGGTACAGGGAGCTTTTCTAGTATGAGAAACAAGAATCCGTTATTTTTTATGGCCAAACTTCTAGAGGACGCCACTTACAGCACTATTTCGATAAATAACTTATCGTAACTTTTTTATGCTACCCTGTTTACAACAACTGACTAAAAAATCTTGTTTTCTTGTATTTTCACAACAAATCGTCCATGTTGTCTTTAGTTTATTAGAATATTTTGGTGTTGCCTGCAGGTGTTATACAACAATTTCAGAAATGCCAAAAACGAAATACCGACAGAGTCGGATGATTTACCTAGAATTTGTACCAGATCTATATCTTCTGTTTGAACAGTTGATAAAACCTTTTTAACCAATATGCATGCGTTGTATGTCTTAAAACATTGGTTATGGCATTTTAGCAAAAATATGACAGCAGAAAGTTAGGTTATGGTGAAGTTGTACACCAACATATTTAGCATATGTACAGCCTTTAACACTTACTAAACAACAGTTGTATCAGTGCTTCCGTTGGGGCCAATTTGTTGGCTAAAGTACTAAATTTGCACAGCAAAACCACAAGGCTCGGGTTTGTTTTATAAACGTTACCATGGATGCCACAACACAACCATTTTGACTAACCTGCAAATATGCCGTATAAAATAGTTGTATAAACGTTTATTCAACAGTTAAAAATTTGTCCTATAAGGTGTTGTATAACTATGCTATAAGAATATGTTGCAGAAAGCAAATTTGCATTCCACACAACATTAAGCCAGCATTTTGGTGTTCAGGCAACAACAATAGAGAGCTTTTATGGCTGAACGGTTCTTTTACCAAAAGCTTATAGCTCTACTTTGCTAGTTGGGATGTTATATGTTAGAATGATAACCACACACAAGGATGTTTTATTTTGTGGCACATCAATTTATTTACAATTTATATTTGATGTTAGTAATTTACTATTAACTTGATTATCAGCAAAGTGTCAGCTAGGTGGGTTCCACTACTGTTCGCTCTTGAATGAAAATTGAGGAGGCTTGAAATTTCAGAAAGCTATTTGGAAACATTACGATTTTTGGCACACGTTGTGATGGAAGATGAGTATTGGGTGCATCATTGAGATCCTGAGTCAATAACATAATCCAAGCAGTGGGTCCATAAAGTGTCTCCAACCCCCCAAAAAGGCACGGACGCAAACCTCTGCTGGAAAATTGATGACAATAGTTTTTTGGGGCATCAGAGGCATCCGTCTCATTGAATATATGCAACAATAAATGCGGGCGTCTATGCGAACAGGCTGAAAATCAATCAACCAGTGATTTCAAGAAACGATGAAAATATTGACAGAATCCGAGATCTTGCGCGTGCAGATCCTCGACTGACGGTTAGAATAATGGGGGATGCGTTTAATTTGACAACTGGGTGTTGCATCACTATAATGTTCCTTGTCGTCCAGCAATGTCAATAAACGAGTTTTTCACCAGTAAAAACATTCCTGTGGCTCCTCGGTGTCGTTATTCGCCTGAATTGAGTCCTTGTGACTTTTTTCTCTTCCCGAAGGTGAAAAATCACTCAAGGTAACTTATTTTGGGACAGTCGAAAACATTCAAATGGCTGTAACCGACCACCTGAAGGCTATTCCAGTATCGGAGTTCCAGCACTGCTATCAGGAGTGGGAGAACCGGCTTCAGCGCTGTGTGGCTTCAGAAGGAAGTTATTTTGACTGTGACAATATAAAATTCCCAACTAACAATTATCACTCATATTAGAGTTGCAAGAATGATTATACAGTATTCCTTACACAGCATTGTATACTATAAGAACATTGGCAAAACCCTCTTAGAAAACCTATACAAGCGGAATGGGCACACCTAATAGGACACTTCAGTCATTTAAGAGGTTGTATAAGGGCTGCAGGTCACAGTTATACAACAAAAGTGTAAGCCGCTATAGGACATTTGCGTCAGTGCAAGATTCAGTTTTTGTCAACTATACAACTATTCTGTTACGTGATTCTACTTTATTGCAACCAAACTATTTCTTATGTATTGTATAGTCGAAGTGAAGAATATATAACTAACACATTACAGTCATCTTGTTTACTTACATATCGGCCATTGTGAATTTCATACACAGGTATATGATAAACTTCTACACTGTGATATAGGGCTATTGAATTATTTGCGTAGCAAATTTTATTGTGATTATAGTGCAAAGTAGTTACGCAATTTCTACGGGCTTCGTATTTGATTCATATTTTGGTAATAATCAAAAGTATGTCTAGATTTTTAAGATGGAAGACTGAACTTATCTGCGTTAAATCTTCCACAAATCTTGTATTTAGACACAATTACACTAATGTTTATCGCTTTATATCTGTAATTTCGAACTGAAACATAATTATTTAATATTAAATACATGTTTGCCCAATATGGCGGGTGGTTGTGTATAATCATGGCATCGTCCATGTTGTCTTTAGTTTATTAGAATATTTTGGTGTTGCCTGCAGGTGTTATACAACAATTTGACAAATGAAATACCGGCATAGTCGAATGATTTACCCAGAATTTGTACCAGATCTATATCTTCTGTTTGAACAGTTGATAAAACCTTTAGAACCAATATGCATGCGTTGTTTGTCTTAAAACGTTGGTTATGGCATTTTAACAAAAATATGACAGCAGAAAGTTAGGTTATGGTCAAGTTATATACCAACATATTTAGCATATGTACAGCCTTTAGCAGTGACTAAACAACAGTTGTAAAAGTGCTTCCGTTGGGAGCAATTTGTTGGCTAAAGTAGTAAATTGCACAGCAAAACAACAAGGATCCGGTTTGTTTTATAAACGTTACCATGGATGCCACAACACAACCATTTTGTCTAACGTACAAATATGCCGTATAAAATAGTTGTATAAACGTTTATGCAATAGTTAAAAATTTGCCCTATAAGGTGTTGTATACCTATGCTATAAGAATATTTTAAGCAACTGATTTTAGAGCAAATATGTTGCAGAAAGCAAATTTGCACTCCACACAACATTAAGCCAGCATTTTGGTGTTCACGCAACAACAATAGAGAGCTTTTATGGCTGAACGGTTCTTTTACCAAAAGCTTATAACACTACTTTGCCAGTTGGGTTGTGATTATATTTGAATAAAAAAATCAGTCTCATCACTTAATTTACAGACTTCGTAAGTTCCCTGGAGGAGAAATGCAGCAACAGCATTGTTTTTTGAAGGGGGGATTACAACGAAAAATAAAATTATACAAAAAATCGTCCGCCTTGCGCTTCATGGTTAGGTAGATTTCTATTCTAGAAACCTCGTATTAATCGATACAAATGTGTTTTGGTAATACAATTTTTGACATTTCAGCATGATCCAAATCAGTGGCAGGTGGTATTTTATATAACATCTGGAATATACGTACTCGCTAGCGTGATATTTATAATTTTCGCTTCTGGGGAAGTCCAGCCCTGGAATGACGAAATTTCACCAAACGGTATGTACTATTTATTCAACTTGTCTCAATTTGTAGCATAATTTAACATCGATTGCAAGAGGTTTTCTTTGTTTCAGATAAAGAAAAAGAGAAAGTCTAGAATTCCTTAGAGATCAAACTTGAGAGCTGTGATGTTATACTTCAGCAAGTTAATCTAATGCATTGGAAGGCCCTTGAATGTTAATCAGTTTGAGAAGACACCATAGTCAAGGATCTGAGAATTACGAAATAATTCTTTGTAGCCAAAAACGGAGATTACTTTAACTTGCTTGTACAAAAAGTTTCGACAATAAACTGCGTTCTTATTGGAGAAGATTTTTTAACTTTCCATAAACTGGTAGTGCCCCAAATTTAAATCTCGATATTTTCGGAACGGAAAGAGATATTGAGTTGCGGTATTCGGGAGGATATTGACAAACTCTTTGAGAACACGTACTGGTTCGACCGATATGTTTTTTTTATTTATCCACCTACAGGGTGAGCCAAGGAGGTCATCTTTTCTTTAGCAAAGTTTGGGGCTATGTCAGATTCTCAATTTTTGATATTGGAAATGTTTCTAAGCATCTTTTTGATCTTTGGTCTATCCTAAAAAAGTGGTTTCTCAAATTTTTCAGAAAGTTGGCTATAACTCAAATTATCGATTTTTAAAAAAGTGTTACATTTTATCCTTAAAAAAGGAACTGTTTTGGGGCTTCTCTTGAGGATGGACATTTTTTCTCATACAGTTGCATGAAGTGGAATTTCTCGCGCCTGAGAAAATATTGAAGCACTCATTGAACGTTATTGTCTATAGTGGCGAGCAGTAAAAAATTGGTACTTTGACATTGTGTAATTTAAACCGAATTTATAAATTTTAATATGCCATTAATATATATTAACCATCTTCCTGATATTTTACAATACTACAAAATTCAACTATTTGCTGATGATACATTTATATATATACAGGGTGTCCCAGAAGTCGACGTCAATCCGAAACCGGGTGATAGGCAAAGTCATAACAGCTGTCAGAAAAATATTTAAAAAAAATTTATGTATGTATTTTGAAAATTATAGGTCTTTGAAAAAGATATAGAAATTTCACACCCTACGGCAGTCTGTCAACTCCTGTTACTACAAATATTAACTTTTTTTGGATTTTATTTTTATAATGTAATGATTAATAATGCATCTTCAAACTGGTGTCTCAACCTTACTGCCAACTTTTCTCGTTCAGGAAAAATTACCACTTATTTCCCAACCAATTATTCCAAAGTAAAACTTTGCTCAACTTTAACTGGCTGTACTGGAAAAAAATGTAATACGAGAGTTTGGCAAGTAACCTTAAAAGTTGGCGCATTTAATAACGATTCCAAAATGGTATAACACTTAGAAGATTACTCGTTAACTTATGCACAATTTTTATTTAAAAAAAAACTGATGAAAATTTTTCAAAATTTACTAATTAAACAGCGATTATGAAAACGCACAAGGACCCTTAAGGATAACTGTTTGCACAACAGTGGGCGTCAAAATGCTGCTGATGATGATTTACCTTTACAGCAAATGCTCAAACTGTTTTCCTTCAGCCGCAATACACGCTCGACATCTTCTTAAAAAAGATCGGGTTATTAAACGAGCGAATCCACGGTTATTAAGAAACTCAGCTGCTTCCAATAATCTTTGCCGTAGCTCAGCTACATTTTGAATCGGCTTGAAATACACTTTTTCTTTTACAGTTCCCCAGTAAAAAAAAATCTAACGGATTCAAATCTGGTGACCGGGCTGGCCACGGTATTGTACCAGACCGCCCTATCCATCTGCCTGGAAAGTTTTGATCGAGATACTCTCTCACTGAGAGTGCATAGTGCGCTGGGCAGTCATCATGCTGAAACCACATGTCCCTGTGAATACTCAGTGGCACGTCCTCCAATAAATTTTCTAAATGATTTTGCAAAAAACCTAAATAAACCTCAGCAGTCAAAGTCTCTGGGAACTCAAACGGACCGATTATTTTACCATTTAAAATTCCTGTCCAATGGTTTATCTTGAAGCGATATTGAGATTTATCTTCTCTCATCAAATGTGAGTTTGCTACGTGCCACTCGTGTAAGTTATGCAGGTTCATGTACCCATCTTTCTTAAATGTGGTCTCATCTGACCATAAAATTTTGTCAAAGAACCGTGGATCTTCCCTGTGTCTTTCTAACATTGTGCGACAAAAAGCAACTCGGGGCTCATAATCCCGGGGCAGAAGAGCTTGAACACGCTGTACGTGGTATGGATGGAGCACGTTTTTTAGCAAGATTCTATGGGCTGTACTTTTGGGTACACCTGTTTTTAGTTCTATTGCACGCACTGAAGTACTCGGGTCTTCTTCGACAGCTCCTAGCACGACGTCTTCGTAAGGAAGGAAAGATCTTCCCTCACCGTGTGATTGGTTTGGTAGTTGGCCCTCTGAGAACAGTAAGCGGTGCACATTTGTGAACATTCGATGATCTGGATGACGAGCTGCATTCGGGTACCTCTCACAGTAAAGTCTCGCTGCAGCACTAGCGTTGCATCTGCATTCCCCATAAATGAGGCGCATGTTAGCATATTCTTGTACGGTGTACACGGACATAGCGGCACTGCACAATCACACTATCAAAGATAGTCTAAGGAAAGCAAATGTTGTTTTGAAGAGCAATTAAACAGTCCAAATCCAAATCACAAGCGATCAACAGTCCAGTTCACGAATCCAAAATTAGTAACAGTACGAAATCAACAAGCACGAACATGTAAAGATGCGCAGTAAACGAAGGAGTACTGATCGGTATCAAAGTGTGCAATAGCAAGTAAGTGATGTGCTTCATCCATACCACATACAGCCTGTTCAACCTCTCCTGCCCCGGGATTATGAGCCCCGAGTTGCTTTTTGTCGCACAATGTTAGAAAGATACAGGAAAGATCCACAGTTCTTTGAAAAAATTTTATGGTCGGATGAGACCACATTTAAGAAAGATGGGTATATGAACCTGCATAACTTACACGAGTGGCACGTAGCAAACCCACATTTGATGAGAGAAGATATCTCAATATCGCTTCAAGATAAACCATTGGACAGGAATTTTAAATGGTAAAATAATCGGTCCGTTTGAGTTCCCAGAGACTTTGACTGCTGAAGTTTATTTGGATTTTTTGAAAAATCATGTACAAAATTTATTGGTGGACGTGCCACTGAGTATTTACAGGGACATGTGGTTTCAGCATGATGGCTGCCCAGCGCACTATGCACTCTCAGTGAGAGAGCATCTCGATCAAAACTTTCCAGGCAGATGGATAAGGCGGTCTGGTACAATACCGTGGCCAGCCCGATCACCTGATTTGAATCCTTTAGATTTTTTTACTGGGGAACTATAAAAGAAAAAGTGTATTTCAAGCCGATTCAAAATGTAGCTGAGCTACGACAAAGACTATTGGAAGCAGCTGAGTTTGTTAATAACCGTGGATTCGCTCGTTTAATAACCCGATCTTTTTTAAGAAGATGTCGAGTGTGTATTGCGGCTGAAGGAAAACAGTTTGAGCATTTGCTGTAAAGGTAAATCATCATCAGCAGCATTTTAACGCCCACTGTTGTGCAAACAGTTATCCTTAAGGGTCCTTGTGCGTTTTCATAATCGCTGTTTAATTAGGAAATTTTGAAAACTTTTCATCAGTTTTTCTCCAAATAAAAATTGTGCATAAGTTAACGAGTAATCTTCTAGGTGTTATACCATTTTGGAATCCTTATTAAATGCGCCAACTTTTAAGGTTACTTGCCAAACTCTCGTAGTAATTTTTTTCCAGTACAGCCAGTTAAAGTTGAGAAAAGTTTTACTTTGGAATACTTGGTTGGGAAATAAGTGGCAATTTTTCCTGAATGAGAAAAGTTGGCAGCAAGGTTGAGACACCAGTTTGAAGATGCATTATTAATCATTACATTATAAAAATAAAATCCAAAAAAAGTTGATATTTGTAGTAACAGGAGTTGACACACTGCCGTAGGGTGTGAAACTTCTATATCTTTTTCAAAGACCTATAATTTTCAAAACACATACATAAAATTTTTTTAAATATTTTTCTGATAGCTGTTATGACTTTGCCTATCACCCGGTTTCGGCTTGACGTCGACTTCTGGGACACCCTGTATATAAATATATATATATATATATATATATATATATATATATATATCAAATAAAGACATTGAAACTGCAATAGAGCTGTTAAATAATGATATGAAAAACGTAATAAATTGGTTAAATGTAAATTAACTTGAAATAAACAGAAACAAAACAAAATATATGCTAACAGGAGAATCTTTAGATCAAAATACGATAAATCTTACAATTAATCATGTGTCAATCGAATCATTTAAATATTTGGGCATATACGTAGACAGTAACTTAAAATTTGAAGAGCACTATGAATATGTTACTTCAAAAATACCCAAGAAAATAAATTACTTTTATAGAGTATAGCCTAAGCGTTTATTCTAAAAAATTGTGCACAACAGTATCATTCTTCCTCATTTGTTATATCGTTCGACTATTTTGTTCACTGAAAATAAAACAGTATTTTCAAAATTACAAATAATACAAAATAAAGGTATGAGAACCATCGTAAATAAAAATAAATGTACTAGATTAAATTTTATTGTATTGAACAATGAGTGCCACAATTATTCTACTAGAGGAAGTATAGACTTCCATTTGCAAAACTGCAGTAGCAATATAACGAGCAAGTCAGTATTTCAAAAGGGATTGTACGAATTTAATAAATTAAGTAATGATATCAAGATGTGTGTCAGTTTGAAAATGTTCAAAGGGAAATTGAAAGAATATCTTATGGAAAACCAGAATTCATAGTAGTGAAATTTTGTATAAAAATATGTAGTCTTGAAGACATAATATATTTTGTGATATACTGTGTAATATGGATATTGTAGCATTAATGCTAAATAAATCTGAAACAAACAAATTAAACATCTTAATGAACAATTCCAAGTTACTGCTCTTAATATAGGGGTGAATTCCACTGTCGTAACACCAATAGCATTTTTTGGTTTGGTAACAAAAATTTTAAGGCCAGTTAAATACCTAAATTATTTATTTATCACAAAAACGAACTTTTTACAAAACATCAACTGTTATTTTTAACAATATTGTTAGTACCTTCTAGGGTGACCCCGCAATCGATCGCAGCCTGGCATCTTCGTGGCATACTTTCCAGACGGTTATTAATAATAATAATAAATTTATTTTCCATCAGACATGTATAGGTTTCGTCAAAAAGATACAATAAGTAAATATGTACAAAGTAAATAAATAAAAAAAGACAAACAAATAACATCCAACAACAAACAAGTTAGAATTAGTGATAAAAAACGATATTTAAAAACTGACAAAGTCGCTAATTGCATAAAAACAGTTACTTATAAAGTAGCTTTTTAGCTCAGATTTGAATTGGCCTATTGAGGTGATCCTTTTTATGGAGTCAGGCAGGTTGTTAAAAATTTTAGGACCTAAAATACATGGTGATTTGCTGCTTAACTTATAATGCGCAAAAGGTATATGGATGTCGTTTTGTCTGCGAGTGCCCATTGGATGTAGATGACTATTCAAGGTGAAATCATCTTTGTTTAAAAAAGTATAGATAGCCATATTGTAGAGAAAAAGCGAAGGCAGTGTCATTATTTTTAATCTCTTGAATAATTCTCTGCAACTGTAAGTGCTGCTTACTCCCACCATACACCTCACCAGCCGTTTTTGACTTAGGAACACCTTAGAAGCGTTCACCGATGAACCCCAGAAGCACAAAGCATACAGCATGCGAGACTCAACCTGACCATGATACAACATCAATAGCTGATTTTCTGTGAAAACAGATCTCAGGTTCTTGAATAAATATGCTTGTGAATTTATTTTTGATGGCAGATAATCGCAATGCCCTTTAAAGTTGAGACATTGGTCTAAGTGGAGCCCTAAAAACTTAGTGCTTTTATCACTCTGCAGTGCTGAACCGTTCAGAACAAGCTGAGTCGCTGGTATCGACTTTTGAATGTTATGGAACCTTATAACTGTGGTCTTCTTGCTATTAAGAAGTAACTGATTTTCTTCAAACCAGCTATTGATGTTGTACATTAAGGTGTTACATTTATTTATTAAATCAGCCTCGTCTTTATTTGATATAATGATGGAGGCATCGTCTGCATACAACGTGAAATGTGCTTCAGGGAAACATTGCTCCAGGTTATTTATATTAAGGGAAAATAGCACTGGCCCCAATATAGATCCTTGTGGTACACCTATATTTATGTTAACCATACCCGATTTGACCTGCTTCAGTTGACCAGCGTTGTTGTGTGTTATTGCCACGAATTGTGACCTATTCTGCAAGTACGATTTTATCCACAGGTAGGCTGAACCACTAATTCCATAGTCTGTTAGTTTGGCTAATAGTATGTCATGACTGACACAGTCGAACGCCCTACTGAGGTCACAAAATATCCCAACCGGGCATTCTCCTGCCTCAATACAGTAGACTAACCTGTTGATAAATGAACGACATGCGGTCATGGTTGATTTTCCAATACGGAAACCATGTTGATTGGATGATAGAGTGTCATTGCTTTCCAAGAATAGCAGAAGTCGATCTAAAAAACAATACTCAAGAATCTTGGAAAAACAGCCTGGAACAGTCACCGGTCTGTAATTGCTAACCAAAGAAGTATCTCCTTTCTCAAGAATTGGAGTTACTTTTCCTGTTTTCAGGTTGTTTGGAAATACACCAGTGCAGAATGATAAATTAACTAGAAAAACAAAAGGTTTGGTTATGTACAATAATATTTTCTTGACTAAGAAATTCGGAACTTCATCGGTGCCTGAAGAACGCTTGCTTTTTAACTTATCATTAATTAGTTTATAGAATTCTTTCTCCAAGAACGGGTATAAAAGCATGAAAGATTTTTGGTCGCAGGTATGATCACTTGGAACTGGATTTGTATCCTTAGATATTTTTTGAATAATATCCAAAGGAGCCTGTTTAAAATAGTAGTTAAAATAATTAAAAATATCTTGTGGATTTCTAATGGTTAATCCATTATCAAGCAGTACAATGTTCTTTGATACTCTATTTCTTCCGTTTATGTCAGAAACCACATTCCAGGCAGCCTTCATCACGTTGTGCAAATTGGATATTTTTTGTTGATAATATGCCTTTTGGTTTTTCTGGCAAGCTTCTGATGTTGTTTTTTTGCATCTAGATAATGTTGTCTGTACTCAGGGATAATTGTTGACAACATATGCTGTTCACGCAAGCATGAACTCGACAACTTTACATTTTCATCGGCCCATTTCTTGCTGTTGTTTTTAATCAGACATTTACGCAGTGGAAAATGTATTTGGAAGTGATAGTCAAACACTCGAAAGAAGTACTCAAATGCATTATTTATATCCCGGTAACTATACAGTGGTGACCAGTTTTCCTTACTTAAGTCTAAAACGAAGTTTTGAACAGACCGGGTATCAAAAACCCTTTTAACTGTTTCTTTTACCGCATCCTCAGCTTGAGGACACTCCATAATTTCTAAAAGTACTGTTGTATGGTCAGATATTATATTATCAACAACGCAATTCAAACATTTATCATTGAAGTTGGTGAAAACTTGGTCTATCGTTGTGATAGACGTGCGCCCAATCCTTGTTGGCCAACCTACCTGTGGATTCAAGCCAAACTCAGACAGTGCATTCACAAGTGCCTCATTATCGTCGTTATGATTATAAGAATCTACATTGAAGTCGCCACAGAGAATTATATTTATATTTGGCCTAAAAACAAAATTTAGAGCCCTATTCAGATTGTCATGGAATATTTTCATATCTCCCGAGGGAGATCTATAGCACAAAATGATGATGCTACGTATACCACCATCTGAGAATTGAATGGCACACAACCCAATATTTTTATCCAGTGAAAACTGAGATACGTCAATAGGTTTTGCAACAACATCATCTCTACAATAAATCGCTAGGCCACCGCCTTTGTACGACGATCTAAAATATGAGCTAACTAACTGAAAATTCTCAATAACAAAATTATTAAGTGATTCAGCTGTAGCCCAAGTTTCAGTTAGGCGGAAGAACTTCACTCTTTGTCAATATTTAAGCATTGAACATTAAGCAGTATTAGATTAGGCTGGAAGACTATGTCGATGTCGGTAAAACTCTTTACTGTAAAAAACGATTTATACACGTATTTTTCGGCCATATTGATACGTTTAATGCAGTTTTAAAGTTACTTTCTGATATAGTTACTTTAAATGACGAATAAATATCCGGATATTTTGAAGTAATACATTCAACAATAGCCTCAGGGAAATTAGCCATTGACTCCATCTCACATAATTTCGTTTTCGGATGAATTCGGCTGACATGCAACACAACTTTTCTTTCAACGCCCTTAACCGTACAGCTGTCGGAACCATTCCCAATTATTAGATTGCGTCTTCTGCGTTGTCGATCAACTAACTGCCACGTACTCTAGCTTGTAACTCCATCACCGCCGTCGCCAGACTGTTAAGTTGAAGGGGACAAAGTGGACGCGGACGTTTCTACTGGTACTGCAGCAGCATTTAACGACAGCGCCTGCTCGACTGCAAGTGCCACTTGCTGTCTCGTTACAGCGTTGCCAGTATTATTGGCTGCGTTCGATGTGACTGGCTTTTGAATTGATGAACTGGATGGTTTCTTTATAACATCACTGTACTTGTTGGTAGATGTCTTGTGTTTTCCGTATTGATAACATGACGATACAACTGGTTGCCTGTTAATATCGGCAATAGATGGCGATGTCTGTTCCAATATCTTTGATAAAGTTGATGCTTGGTCAAGTAAACTTTTAATGGTTTGCTGTTGGGTTTTGATAATCAAATTCTTATGTCTGATTAGTTCCCTTAGTAATATATTGTCTTTCTCACTTATATCTACATCAATCATTTCTCTGACACTGCAAAATGAGATGTCGCTATCCTCGTCGATCTGTTCGACCTCCATTGTTTTGATTGTGTCTTCTGAGGGGTCTTCAATAGAACAACAGATAACCGATTTATCATCAATCTTTTAGGTTTTTTATGTACTTGACGCATCCCGCATGTATGACAGTTTTACAATTAGCACATTGCGGACCACTTCTTGCGATAACACCACGCTTGCAACATTTTGTAACAGAACTATTAGCACGTCTTTCACTTGACGCCATCGTACATCTAATCAATTAAATCAGTTAATAAATTCTCAGGATACGTTTTCCCAATCTACCTGAATGGCCTCAGACAGCCCCCTTCTTTTGTTTGAGGAGTTTTTTGTCTTGACCACTCAAAAATTTTTAGCCGAGACCAGAAAAGCTCAATTATGTTCAGTTCTAGAGACTTTGATAGCAGAGGCAATAATGTAACATTATTTTCTGCCAAAAAGTTTATAACCGTACGAACTCTGTGCGGCCTGGCGTTATCATCGATGAAGACAAAACCCTCCTGAAAATCTTATGCAAAAGGTACAACAATATTGTTTAAAATAATATCCCTATAAACTGCAGCATTGACTATCCTGTTTGAAATGAAAAGTTCGGTTTTAACACCGATTGTGCATAACCCCAGCCCAAACAGTAATTTATTTATTTAGCAACATCCAACAGCCATAGCCAATTACAGGATGGATAAACATGAAAATATAAACAAATGCATGTTGTGGATGTATGTAGAGAAAGCTAAAACGCTGCAAAGAAAAACCTCAAAACAGAATTGGGAGGAAAAAAAAGCGTTCTAGCTTTACCTACCCAGCACTCAACAATCACACCAGCAAGCATTAACGAAAATAAGCATTAATGTCTCCCAAAGTCGCACAAAACGACAATATATCTAAAACGCTATTAACTGAATTATAATTACAGCACGTTATATATATAGGGGAAAACTTAAGTATGTCAGTCCTAGGCCTGGCTAAGTAAAAAGTAAAACTAGTTCGTAACGCTATTTTAGGAATTAAGAAGTTAAGTTGTTCCAAGATGACACTGGAGTCAATAATGCCATGGATGAGCTTGTGAATGAACTTAAGTGAATTCATTTTGCGTCTGCTCTCTAAATTATAGATTTTGTGTCTCGCCATCAACTCACTATGAGGAAAGCCAATAGCGGGATATATCCCGTCAGCTTTGTATGAGAGGTATTTTAAAAACTTTCTTTGAACGGACTCTAAGCGGTCAATATATATTTGATGATGAGGATACCATACCAGGGACGCATACTCAAGCTTAGATCTTACATAAGCATAGTACAGTATTTTCAGTGTAAAGGAGTTGTGGAAATTACTTTTTGCCTTTCAAATGAATTTGGATGCAATGTTTTATAATTTAATTTATATGCTTTCTTAACTACAGCTTCTTTTTCCAATTGATATACAGCACGAATGTTTTCAAATTTAGCATACTGAATAATATCATTATTGTCAAAATTAGGATATACAAAAGTTTTGTCTAGGTTTTTTAAATTAATCCGATTATTTCTGATACTCTTGAAAATATGCACAACATCATAAGTTAAATATATGTTCTTATCAGGATTATGTGGATTTGGAATAGAATAATTTTCTGATGAATCCTTTGCTAATTTCCTGAACATTCCTCTATTAATTCGGTGATTATCAGTAACAACAAAAATAACTTCAAATCCACATTTTTGAACTAAATTTATCACATGTTCAACCAAAGGTGTCATTTCATCACCTGTTAGATTTGAAACTGGTAGTAATTTGATAATTTCTGTTATGTTTCCAAATGCTGAAGATAGCATGAAGGCTAAAACAGTTTTAGCCATGTCATTTTTATTTGAGGCATACCCAACAATGTTTTGTGAGCGATAGTCCAGCTTAGATGTTATATAAATTTCATCGATCATCAAAATTACAATTTTTTCTCTTGGAGCTAATTTAATTGCTATATTCGAAAGGTAGTGTTCATTATTCCTATCATTTTTTTTTACTTGGCAAAATAAAAAATCTTTTAATTAAATTATATGTTGATGATGAGTGGTTATAAAACGTAAAAGCCATTATTATTATTGAAAGTGATGCATATCTGTTTTTCCTGTTTTGAATTTGTCTCAGCTGATCAGCAATAATCTCTAGATTTTTTGTATATGGAAACATAACTGCGTCATTATTAATTATGGAAATCGCTGTGTCGAGCTGTTCCAATGCATTCATGATGCAAACTTCAACAGAGTTTTTGTGTTGGTTCTCAGAAAAATAAAAAAATACCTATTTAGCAGGTTTTCTAATTGGGACCATCTGGTAATTTTGAGATCATATGGCAAAACCCACTTCAAGTCACTAAAAGAAAGCTTACATCCTTTATGAACAACCTGAACTTCCATCTGACCATCAACTATAATCTGTGTATTCAAAGTTAAGATATCATTTTCAAAATCCAATTTATAAAAATATAGCTTTCCATCAGATAATTTATTATTCCATTTCTGTGAGGCTTTAATTTTTTAAAATGAAGAATGTAATTCTTGAAAGTCTTTGATCTTATCCATATCATCGAAATTCTGGATAGCTTTTTCATGTTTTTCAATTAATTTTTGTTTTCTTTGCATTGGGTCAGTTCTTTTGGGTGCTTCGGTTTTTGAAAGATATGATGGCAAGTTTGGGAAAATGGAGGGAACAGCATTTTCTTTCAATTTTGGATATTTCAAAGGTATATTATTTTGGACTGTTCCATCCGCCAAAACTATATTTTCTGTCCTGATGATATCCGATTCTCTAAAATGACGACTGCACACAGCTGAATATTTTGAAGGTGTCCAATTTTTTCTGGGAATTGCCATAAGCCATTTGTTTTTCAGACTTTCGGTACTTGGGAAGCGAAAAGTTGAAACATAGCTTTCTGTTTTCAAAGCAGAATAATTATAGTTTGCATTGCATAAAGGAACACAGCAACAACGAGGCATATTGTCTGCATCAAATACTTGATAAATGAAAAACGAAAAATACAACCTGAATTTGCACGTTTTCAATAGTTGAAATCCCTAGCGTCCTGCGACGCGAACAGCCACAGTCACACTTCTTAGTTTATTTTTAAAGCACAGAAGCACTACAACTGGAGCCTATTTCTCATATATTATAGTCACCGATCACTTTGAACACATAGACACACTTTGAAGCTGAGAAAACAAGCTTATCTCTTAATTACAGCCTCTTGGATTCCCAAATCACAAATTGAAAAGGTTATGTTTTCTCAGCGTTTTGAGCACGAGCTGCGTCGATGCAGCAAGCAGCGGCGGGAGTAACACTACCACCTACGTTGCCAGATTTCTTTGTTCACGGCTCGTAGTTGACGTCGGCTGTGATTCTACCATCAAAGTGGTGTAGGTTGAAGCGTGTTACATCGGAAAACATGCAATTTTGCCACTGCTGATGCCAATTCACCCGCTCCTGTGGCCATTGGTACTAGGCGACTCTTGGATTGTTCAAGAGTCGGTTACACCTGGCGCAACGCCTTGCTCTGGAAGAAACGCTACTCTAAAGAAGTACCTACAAATTTTGTATAACATTTATATACCTTAACAATTAGAATTTAAAGTTCTTCTTACAGGACGATTAGATACTATTATCCCACTGTACCGCCGTAAGTTTTCATTCAAGGTTCTTGATGAAGGGGTTCTGCTTCCCCTAACTTCCTGTAATAAATGTCTTTCGGCCCGACCTCGTATTTTTTTTGATTACCTCCTTCATGTAGGACGTTACCCCGGTATCCTGATATCTACGCCTTAGACGGTATATTGAGGACCGATCAATATTGTAAATAACAGCTACATCATTCACTTAACGACCTTCTCCCAATAATCTTATACTCGTACAATTCTCTTGTCCTTTTTGAAAAAGGCGAGACATGGGACCACTTCTTTTTATTTTACACATAAATGATTTACCTGCCATAGTCAAAAAATGCAAAATTCAGATTTTCGCCGATGACACTATGATTTATATGAGTACTAAAAATATTCAGACTGGTATCTCTTATATAAATGAAGACTTGAAACTTGTCTCAAAATGGTTAGCATCTAACAGACTAAAATTAAATACAAGTAAAACGAAAGCTTTGTTATTCGGAAAAAAACAATGTACTGGTGAAGATATTGAATTCGTAGAAAATTTTAAATACTTGGGGGTTTTTGTTGACTCTCGATTAATTTTTGATATTCATTATGAAAAAGTTAATAAGATTAGTAGTAAAGTGGAATATTTATCGAGGGTTTCTGGATGTCTGAGTTCATATAGCAGAAAAATTATCTATAATACCATTATTCTTCCAAATTTCTTGTACTGTTCGATTATTCTATATTTAGCAAATAATTCCATTTTTGAAAGTCTGCAAATTTTACAAAATAAGTGCATGAGAATAATACTAAATAAAGATAAATATACTCCAATTAGGCAAATGTTTAGCAAATTAAAATGGCTCAATGTAAAAATTTTAATCAAATATCTTGTAATGATATTCATTTATAAAGTAAAAAATAATATATTTCCATCAAGTCTAACTAATTTAACATCATCAAATGTCGACCATCATTTACATAATACCAGAAATAAAGATGACTTCCATCTAATGACCAAAAAGTATAACATATGCTACAAATCTGTATTCCATCAAGGGTTGATTGAATATAATAAATTATACTCGGAGATAAAAGACCAGAAAACTTTGACAAAATTTAAAGTAAAATTGAGAAATCACTTGTTAAATCTACAATTATAGGTTGCACAGCATTTACATCATACACCATATGGCTTGAATTTACTAGTTCTAAGTTGTTTACAATGATTCTGTTTATGTAGCCAAACGTGCTAAATAAATCTTTCTACTACTACTATTTTTGCGAAAATAAAATTATACTGTCAAGTCTACAGTCAATGTTATTGTTACTTATCAATTGCATGTTTGAGGTGTAGGTATTTAGGAAGAATCCGGAAAAACGTCCTATTTGAATGGAGAGGGCAATGTAAAAAAAAATACGAGGTCGAGCCGAAAGTTAAAAATACGATAATTTGAGTTATAGCCCAAACATTGAAATATCTCTTTTTTAGGATAGTCCAAAGATCAAAAAGATGGATACCGAAATGGCTGAACTTTAGCGCATACAGCAAATATTTCATTTATTATTTTAAAATTAAAGATTAGGACTTAACTTGCATAAAAATATAATTTTTTCTTTAAGGAACCCTCTGCTTGCTATTTTATAGAACTTCAAAGTTGCATTTTGGGAGGTAATATTGTGGTATAGAATACTGCTTTATAGCTGTTTTTTGCTTGTTTACACAAAATATTCTTCAACATTATATGAATATAACATACACTGTAAATTACTGTGACACTGTTCATCCCAATAATGCAATTTTGCATTATTTTAATGATGAAAATAGATCATTGTTGAGTAGTCATTTCTTTTATTTCAGATAAATACGAGTATTCCCATCACTACACCGCCCTCACTATCATACTCTCTCCATCTAGTTGCGATATTGCCGAATCATGTATAGTAATATACCTTAATTTGATTTGTCAAATTCTTAATCGATCAAACGAACTTACCTTAAGTGAAGTTCGATCGTAATTATACGAGGGTCCAGTCCGAAGACATCACTTTGTTTATTTACTATGTAATCCGGCCCTGGAGTACTAGCCGCACACCAAGTTAAAAGACAAGAGATCCCCGCTCCCGTCCCGTCGCGCCGCGGTCTTGCACGTTGAGTCATTTGTTAAAAGAAATGGTACTTGCTCGCAACTTGGGAGGGTTGAAAAAAAAGGGTGGGAGTGATGTCTTCGGACTGGACCATCGTATAATTACGATCGAACTTCACTTAAGGTAAGTTCGTTTGATCGATTAATTATACTTTAGGTCCAGTCCAAAGACATCACTTTGTTTATTTACTATGTAGATGTTTAAAGATAGAACACAGTTGCGAGCGATCTGATGGTGTTATAAAGTGGAATCAAAGTGTTCAGAAACAACAAAACCATATATTTAGTATTCCTATGTAACAAACATAAAATAAATTCTCAAATTGTAACCTAAAGATAACGTTGATTTGAGAAACAACTGAAACACAGGAAACATGTAACAAACTCTTAAGAGTATTAGAACTTAACTAATCAGACCAATTTTATATCTTGGATTGGATTTGCAAACTCATTGTTTGTTAAGTACTGGGCTAATTAAATATTTCCTTGTTTTCGAACTATCGTGGAAAAGAGCCGCCAATATTCGTGCAGAATCTGTCAAATTTGATAAGACTTTTTCCCTGATGTCTTTAGGGATGCTGGATTCGTCTTCCAAGATAACGTTGAGTGCTTTTCCAAGTGCGGTTAGTCCGTTACCAATGTGCAATTGGTACCCGGAGTGAGTGGAATCCCTAGTTAAATGTGTGGATGAAAGAATAGCTTTCACTTCGGGATTTACTTTTGGAGGACGTAATAAAGCGCAATTAGATGGCACATTTTGTTTTGCGCTAAGGATAGAAATATCTTCGGTGGATAGCCCGTTTGCCAAAATATGGGACCACCTGGAGGCTAGGGCACCGTGAAGTTTAAAACTAGACGTATTAGCCTTTTCAGGATCGGCACCCAGAATATTTAATGTGTCCTCTGATAATGGCATACAATCGGCATCGTCAAGTATCAAAACATCGTCCATACTGTTTTGCGTTGCTGGCGCCGGTCCCAAATCCGGCCCTGTCAGTACCTGAGCTTCCGGCCCGCACGGGGAACGACCAGCCAGGCCTACCTGACGCTGTGCATTATCAGCTGGGCTGGATGAATTTTCGTTTTTTCTCACATATTCCCGTCTCTCTCTACGTCGCCTCGACACGCTCGGTGATCGACTACGACTGATGCTACTCCGCGAACGGGACCTTGAACGTCTACGGCTCAGCCGAGAACGCCTAAAGGAATGGGGCGAATCGGCACGAGACCTCGACCTGCTGCTTCTACCCTCAAGTTCCTGGTGTAAAATTTCCCTGATAAGACTCCTCAAGGAAGTGGGAGAATTAACCTCCAAATCCCCGTCCCTGCCGCCAGGTTTTTCTTCCATGTTTTTCTGTTAAGTATATATTATATTATATATAACGTGCTACTAGATGAGCAACAAAACAACCCATTGTTGTACATACTTACCAACCTACTCACCAAGCACTAAACCGATTTGAAAAGGAATCGCGTATTTTACGTGTTTCCTAACGCACAAACAAGCCGGGCGACCGTACGGCTGTAACACCAAAAACCGAATGACTCAACGTGCAAGACCGGTGCGCGACGGGACGGGAGCGGGGATCTCTTGTCTTTTAACTTGGTGTGCGGCTAGTACTCCAGGGCCGGACTACATAGTAAATAAACAAAGTGATGTCTTCGGACTGGACCTAAAGTATAATTGCTTTAATACCAGCGCAAAAATGTGCAATCGGCACAGGATCGTCATGGAAATGCGATTTGGAGGTGTGGCCGGCAGGTTTTACTGTACTAAATCCACCTCGTGCCCTACGATAGCGTTAGCTAAAGACACAAAACTACTTCGGTTATTGTTTTTCCTATAATACAGTTATAATCTATTTAATTTTTGTGTGTAACTACTTGAAGAATTATTTAAAGTGAAGCTGATGTCACAAAATATACCTAATTAAATGTGATATATATGAGAAATAACTGAAAAAGTAGCTGTTGCCAATCACTAAATAATGAAAATATAATAAAGAGCATTGCAAGTTTTTTGATGATTTGATGAAATGATTGTTGATCTTTATTTAACTATAATGTTGGGCGATGATATATTGGGTGGACCTGGCGAGGTGCTCCAAATCGACGAATCGAAGTTGGATATTCTTATATGCAATGACCGCTGGTGTCTTGGATTTTTTGTCACGCGAGCCGCTGGTGCATTTTCCAGTGTTTAGACACATACTGTTCAAAAATTCATCTAGTTTTCGGTGAATAAAACAAGCCATTTACAATAAATTAAGACTTTTATTTTGCAAATAACCTAATTTTTTATTACGTATTTCTCCCAAAAAAGGTACAACTTGGCAACAATGGACATATTTATCTTATCTGTCAAGAATGTTATAAAATGGCCATTGAGAATTGTTTGTACTTTCTTATAAATGCAAAAACTTTGATCTCATTGATAAATACGCGAAAAAAAAAATGTAATTTCAAGAAGACATTGAAAAATCACAACACAACATCTTTACACAGTTTAACAAGTAAATACCATCATTATTTAGGTATGTATTTTGAACTGTTATTTTGGCTAATAAGCTAATGTGTAATAACACGGCTGGTTTTGAACCTTTTTTTGCAAAAAACAACTTTTTTTACAGTTTCACATCTATTTTCCTTAGTACTATAAAGTATGTATTCTTATAATTTAGAGCTTCCTTTCGTGCAAAAAGCAAAAAAAGACAGCATATAAAACAGTATTCTATTCTAGGGTATTACCACGAAGAATGCAACTTTGAAGTTCTATAAAATAGCAAGCAGAGGGTTCCTCAAAGAAGAAATGATATTTGCGTTACATCCTAATCTTTCATTTTAGAGTAGAGATATTTTCAAGAGAAAAAATTGAGAATATAGCATAGCCCTAAACAACCTTGGTAAAAAAACCTGACTTGCTCTGCTCACCCTGTATAAGTGGATGAATGAAAGAACTATACTGATCGAACTCTGTTCGTGTTCTCAAAGAGTTAGTCAAGAACCTCCCGAATACCGAAACTTGATATGTCTTTCCGTTCCGAAAATTTAGGTAAAATTTTGCATGTTGCGAAGCCACTGTCCACCAGTTTAGTTGCTCCCTTTTTGCGTATAACATTGTTCTAACCCAACTAGACACTTCAAATAGGAGTAGTTAAATAAATCCACTTTCAGTCATTGCTTTATTCCTTAATGTGCACAGATAGTATCAAGTTGTACAAAACTGGACCATACAGTACATCATTTACCACAAAGCCTTAATCTTGGATTAGACGGTCCTGTATCAGCTTTTTTATACCCCTGAAAAATAAAAAGCATAGGATTATAGCAAAAATTTAGAAGGCTTCGATGCACCCTAAATCTCCCCTTGGTTTAGGTCTCTTTAGGTTGTTGCCGAATTTGTATCGAAAAATGGAGTCAAGTAGGTTGACTCCGTACCTTCAACGCAATTGTTTTGAATTATATTGTGATCGGTTTGTGTCTAGATAACTATAATACAAAAAATGGCGTGAAGTAGATTCGTATCGTTTTAGGTAGGTTCACTTAAGTACGATGAAGCTTCGACCTCTGCATATGAATCTATCTAGCAAATCTATCATATTTCTGTTTAAATGTCAGAAGCTTCCTAATAATAGTAGGTATTCACTGACACCTAACATGCAACAATTCACAACCATTTACGGCGTACAGCTTCGAACCTACAATTTTCATCTGCTCTCTGCAGAAATCTCTGACAAGTTGGAACACTATGTTCCAGCGATTTTATTTCCACTGCCTCTGAATCAATTTTAAAAATCTACTACCTAAACGATGGAAGTATTAAACTCGCGATAATATTAGAATTTCGGTTTACAAGTTTTCTGTTGTTTAAAGGTATCTACATCACACAAATCCGTGTTTCTTATTTATGTAGGCTTATCAGTCCGTGTCTGCTGAATGTCAATGCGTCATAAGTGCTGAGTCAATCTACTTGACGAAATATTCACAAAATATATTTTTCGGTATTACAATACTTCCTTACCCGTGCGGTGGAAACTAAAAAGTTATGTTGCTGGTAGAGGCATTCATAAGGTCTTAGTCACACCAATGTTGCTTTTATATACAAGTGACATATAAATCCGAACACCCAGTTTAAATGGTTTTATTTTAATAAAATTTTGTATAAGTACTTAATGAAGCATAATAAGTAAATGATAAAAATTTCAAAATGATTGCACTGCTTTAAAGCCCTTTGACCTTTAATAATGTGTGGATGCACCCCTGATGTGCTACGCATTCTCCAACGCGCCTAGGCATGCTTCTGATCATGTGGTCAATGTCTTCCTGTGGTATCTCATTCCGGGCAACCACCAACTCCTTTCGATGTGCTTCTAGAGTCTGAGGAGGACGTTGCAAATTGAGCAATCTCCTACCCATCATATCCCACACGTGCTCAATTGGGGATAAGTCGGGAGATCTTGGTGGCCATGGTAACACTGTGACATCAGTATGTTGAAAGAAGTCTATTGTGACTCTTGCAACATGTGGTCGGGCACTATCTTGTTGGAAAGTTGGATCTGCCAGGGTGTCAAGATAGGGTAAAAGATGGGGTTCTAGAACTTCGTGGATATAACGCTGCGCGTTCATGTTATGATGAAGATTAAAGGTGACCTGGAACCATAAGCTATAGCACCCCAAACCATAACTCCAACAGTGTGATGAACATGTCTTTTAACAAAAAACTGTGGATTCCTCCTTTCACCACGTCGCCTTCTAACCCTGGCACGACCATCGTACATGCCTAAACAAAATGTAGACTCGTCACTAAAGACAATACTGTTCCATTCCTGATCCCAGAGTGACCGTTGTCTGCACCACTCAAGGCGATTACGTCGGTGTTCTCGAGTTAAAGGGAGGACCCAGTGTGGCCGGTATGAAAACAAGCCAAAACTTCTCATTCGTCGGTAAACACTTCGCATGCCAATATGTCTTCTGTGTTCTGCAAACCATTCATTTGCAATGGACCTGGTAGTGGAGAAACGGTCCCTTAAGGCCAATAATCTTAGGCGGCGATCTTCACGGTCTGTTGTTCTACGGCGGCGTCCAGTGCCCCTTGCTCTTTGCGTACGGCCTTCTCGAAGCCATGCCTGACAACACCTAACCACAGTATCTACACTTCTGTGCACTCTAACTGCAATTGCCCGAAAAGAAAGTCCAGCTTCCCGAAGTCCCACTATACGGCCCCTATCAAACTCACTAAGTTGACGAAATCATACAGGTCTCCGTACTCTAGGCATCGTAACCAATCGTAAAGGATGTCAAGAACCAAAATCCGCCAACGTTGATTCTTTACTGCGGCTGAAATATTCATTTTTAGAGCGTTAGTGAATTAAAAAAAAACAGTATAAAAACCGGAATGTCCAACTGATAAGGCTGAAAATTTATTCACTTGTTGTTTACAGTAAGATAAATACATTCACCAACTTTTATTAAAATAAAACCATTTAAACTGGGTGTTATATGTCACTTAGTATATGTGACAAACAACTTTCTTACCCCTCGACTTGGAGTTGACTGTACATCCACAGACAGCTGACCCCTGAAGCCTCTATTGAAGGCAGCCTTTGGAGTTGAGAATGACTGTGACCCTACTCCATAGGAGGTTTGTAGTCTGCTTTGATCCTTCGGAAGTTGACCAATGACCAATGGATCTCTTCGTTTCGACCTTGACTTTGCAATACATGGAATACGCCCTTTACTCTGATTGTCAGTGGAAGATTTTCTAATAAATGCTTCATTTAAAGGATCTCTAGATAGTGATCTTGGTCTTTGCGTTGGTTGGGGATCAGTTGATAATTCACCCATAAAGGCTTCATTGAAAACATCATTTTGGGTTCCAGGTTGCCTTGACTCTGGCGGTCGAATTCTACTTTGTTTGTCAGTTGGGAGATGACCGCTGTAAGGTTGGTACCTTGATGTTGGTGTTTGAATATCTGTTGGTAATTGACCCAAGAAGGCTTTATTGAAAATATCTCTTTGAGCTCCAGGTTGACTCGACGCTGGAGGTCGACTTTTACTTTGTTTGTCAGTTGAGGGTTGGCCGCTGTAAGGTTGGTACCAAGGATGGTACCTTGATGTTGGTGTTTGAATATCTGTTGGTAATTGACCCAAGAAGGCTTTATTGAAAATATCTCTTTGAGCTCCAGGTTGACTCGACGCTGGAGGTCGACTTTTACTTTGTTTGTCAGTTGAGGGTTGGCCGCTGTAAGGCTGGTACCAAGGATGGTGGTACCTTGGTGTTGGTGTTTGAGGATCTGTTGGTAGTTGGCCCACGATTGCGTCATTGAAAACATCTCTTTGAGCTCCAGGTTGACTCGACGCTGGAGGTCGACTTTTACTTTGTTTGACAGTTGAGGGTTGGCCGCTGTAAGGTTGGTACCAAATATGGTACCTTGGTGTTGGTGTTTGAGGATCTGTTGGTAGTTGGCCCGCAATTGCGTCATTGGAAACATCTCTTTGAGCTCCAGGTTGACTCGACGCTGGAGGTCGACTTTTACTTTGTTTGACAGTTGAGGGTTGGCCGCTGTAAGGTTGGTACCAAGGATGGTACCTTGGTGTTGGTGTTTGAGGATCTGTTGGTAGTTGGCCCACAATTGCGTCATTGAAAACATCTCTTTGAGCCCCAGGTTGGCTCGACTCTGGAGGTCGACTTCTACTTTGTTTGTCAGTTGAGGGTTGGCTCCTGTAATGGTACCATGGATAGTACCTTGGTGTTGGTGTTTGAAGACGTGTTGGTGACTGGCGCACAAATGCTTCTTTGAAACCGTCTCTGGCAGATCGCATCTAAAGACATAAAGGAAAACTTTGAGGGACTTTTAGATTAAAATCTAATATTGAAAGTACCTGCAATCTTCAGATTTCTTTATCAGCAAAGCCCTAGAGGATCAGTTTAGAAGATCTCAAGTATAGTGGGTGCACGGGAATCAAGGAAGTCATTTTTTGGGGAGGGGAATCATAGGGATGGGCCTGCCAATCCCAAAGCATACGTGGTTGACCGACTTACCTCCCCTTTACCTGTTGCCCACCGCGTTTCAGTTAGCCCCTCCCCCCCTCCCAGACGGGGAATCATCCCCACATGTTCTAACAAGAGTAAACGGTAGGCAAGAGGCCTCTGGCGCCTGTGCCTTTAGGCTTAGAACGAGGCTATCTATGCGATTTTGGCTTGCCGTATTTTGAAGGAGTAAGGGCCTAGAAGAATAAGAATCTTCTCCGACATCCAGGATGAAGGGAGGCTCTAAATAGTCTAACAGCGGGGTATCCGGTATCGTTAGTGTGGGTATCGGGGCACGCTGAGATAAAGGGCAACGATATGGCGGACGCTCTTGCGAAAGCAGGATCAGCGAGCAAGCTTCTTGGTCCTGAGCCAGCCTTAGAGATGCCCGTGCAAATATTCAGGAGAATGGAGAAGTGGATTGCTAGACAACTCTATCAGAAATGGAGAAGCATATCTAGTCATCTCCATCAGGCACGGGAGCACATCGTAAGACCCAGTGTAAAGGACGAACGCTTTTGCTTATCTTTGGATAGAGCCAACCTCAGGTTGTTGGTGGGACTATTGTCTGGCCATAACACGATGAGGCCCCACCTGCACGTGATGGAGGTGGCTGAGGATCCCATGTGTGAGCGCTGCAGGGTACAGGAAGAGTCCTCGGCGCATGTTCTGTGTCGCTGTGAGGGCATATAGTGGTGTGCATAAGGGCCTGTTATGTGGCCTATCGGCCAGCTCCTCATGACGGCCGGTATGCCTCAAATTTCGTTTAATAAAAAATATGTTATACAAGAGCGGAAAGCAGTAAATCGCGCTGGGCGAGGTATTATTTTTATAATCAATCGGCCGCCAACCGCCAACCTGCGCGGTATGCAAGAAAAATTTATTATCGTATACGCTTGTTTTCTTCCTTCTAATATGTGGGGAAGATTTCTCATATAGGGGGCGAGCTGAAACGTGGTGGGCAACGTAAAAAGGTGGGTAAGTCAACCAACCGGAAATACTTTGGCATTGACAGGCCTGACTTTATCGCTCCCCCAAAAAAGTGCTTTTAAGAGTTGAGCGACGGGTTCGTGTTTTTGGGGGGTTCACATTGATCCACCAGTCGACGCCTGGGAACTGTTTTATTTAATGTCCGTGCACCCAGCATACCTGAGAGTGGAAAGCCCTTCTTCTAATATATCTTCTAGGGTTTTGTGTCATGGGCTCTACACACTACAACAAAATGAGTTCCAATACCAGAAATTAATTGGACTGAAGTATCTGGCTTACTTGTAATGTATTGGCAGTGTTTCCGAACTGTTTATCAATAGGCAACTGACCCACGAAGTCTTGGTTAAACTCCTCATTATTACCAGCTGTTGGTGGTCCACCCTTACAAACAACTTTTGGTCTTCTTGAGATTGATTGTCCAACATCTGTAGGCAGTTCTGCACAGAAACCTGTATTGAACACATCTCTCGGAGGCTGATTAGACCATTGGTTGTCAGCGGATGGTGGTCCAATAAATACTTCGTTGAAAACGTCTCTTTGGGCTGATTGCATTCTAGGTTGTGGAGGAGGTGAAGGTTGTGACGTCCATTGACTGTATGTCGGAAACTCACCTGCAAAACATCTTTTTTTGCATCTATTTCTTCTAGAAGGTCATACAGGGTGATTCGCCAAAAATGAAACCGCATACACAGGAACGCATTTTAAGGGGGGTCTTCTATGTAACATTTGTTCCTTGACGGCTTCATTAAAAAGATACGGGGTGTTGAAGTTAAAAATAAAAAACAATTCTTTTTAATATCTTCAAAACCGGAATCAAGCAAAATTTGGTATGTGGATTTACCTAAGTATTGTCGACATCCAAAAGTCTTTACTTAAAATAAACTTGCACCAGTGGCGGAGATACAGGGGATTAATGGCATTATTTTTCCAAATAAAAGTAGTACGCCAGTGTTTTATTATCGATACGCGCAATTTTTAGACTTTTACCTTAAATTTGCTAAAAATAATTACTCTTGTGTTTTTCCTAGAGTGCATTGTTTTTGTAAAAATAAAAAAACAAAGTAGATAATCAAAGCTTTATTTTTTAATAAATGTTAAAAAAGACCACCATTCTGACGGATACAAGTGCGGCATCTCTTTATTAAATAAAAACGTATTTCGGTAAAATTTGTTGTGGCTTGAATTTGATGAAACGCATTATCTATTCTTTCTTGTAACTGATCAACAATATTAATTTGTCCAACATACGCTACTTGTTTAAAAGCGCCCCACAAAAAGAAATCGAGGGGTTAAAATCAGGAGATTCTGTAGCTAATCAACAGTATTAATTTGTTCAACATACACTAGTTATTTAAAAGCGCCTCACAAAAAGAAATCAAGGGTATTCAAATCAGGACACCTTACAGGCCAATGTACATTGGCCTGTGGTATGGGCACAGCGGCGTATTCATGAGAGGGCTTTGGGGCTCCTCGGAGTCTACCCTCTCAAAGCGCAACAGCTCATTACGCTTATTCTACATATTATACATGTTATACCTTCTGTGAAGTGTAGCTACATAGACTAAGCGAGTCCCTCCCCTCTGCTATGTAGCTTTATATCTCCAAGACACCCCTCCCCGCCCCGAGGCGGAATTTTCGTGTCACCCTGGATCTTGAGCCTCCCCCCAGATCTTTTCCTGGATAACACCTGGTTGAGCAATATCTCAATCTACAGGAAACAATTAATATCGCGAAATCGACCACAGCAGTGGCTCCTACAAATCATTTTTATGGGCACATTTCAAATTTCCGTCATCGGACTAAACAAGGAAGTCACAGATGAATAAAATTAACAAATCATAACTGATCATAATTGTTTGTATTAGCAATGGGAGGATTTCTGGAAAAGCAAAAATTCTATATATTTGGTTTCTGCCTAAAGGGGCTGAACCTACCAGTATGTCTACAAAGTAAGAAGCATGTATACCAGAATGCAGTTTTGTATAGACACAGAAAGTGGTTAAATTACAAACTGGTGAAATACTTTTTAGAGCTAATGAAATTAGTTGCAAGAAGGATAAATAGCCAGCACTAATTTCGTAAACTAAACATTTTTCATATTGATATTTTAGATGAGAATGTTCAGTTTCCAAACGTAACTATGTTCGGTAGCCTAGCACTTCGGAATGTCTATTCAATACCAAACATCCAACCTCAGAATCAATCAAACAACCTGCTTCTCCCTGAATATTGAAATTTGAAAGAAATATTTTGCTTTTAACAAGCCTGGAGATATATTACAAATAAAGATGTAATCTGCTTTGAAAATCACACCTTATTGGGAATTTAATTAAGGCTACACGTGATCAACAGCAATAACCCACCGCCACTGGAGGCAACCAAGCCACGCGCCTCTATAGAATCCGGTACCTTTTATCTATAATTTATTGCTCGGACATTTTACCTTCCAGTATCAATCCTGCTTTTTAGACCGTCTTCGGTGCTAATACAACGTTGCAATTCGGTATTTTTGGAGGCCAGAAGATGCAAGAGGTATGTGCAAGTTGGATGGCTCATCTTTGTACATACGTGTCCGTGCCTGTCAATCCATCGTTGTCTAAAATGATAATTTAACCACGCGGTTACGTCACGACGAGCATGCGGTGGGGCGCCGTCGTCCTGATACCACATTCGTATTCTCGTTGCTAACGGAACATCATCTAACACATTTTCTATGTAATTCCCTAGAAAAGCTGAGTATGAGTTTGCATTTAAACGTTGTGGCAATACGTGCATAAACAGTTGGCCATTGAAAATGCCGCACCAGATATTTCTAGAAAATCTGTGTTGAAAGGAGTGGATTCTTACAGAACGGGTTTTTTTGTAAACATAATACAAAAGCAAAAAAAAGCGAAAAAAATAGAAAAGAAAACAACAAATGCAACACAGGTATAAATTTATAACATGAGCTATTGGTCCGAATAAGCCTTAGCTGCCTTTAGCAGGTAATTAACATTTGTCCTAAATATATCACAGTACCATCCAATTCTGTTTAAGTTAGAGCACATTACATATAACGGTGACTTGAGAAGAATGTTTGTCCTAGCTCTAGGAAGCCCGAATATTTTATGATTGCGAGATGCAAACGTTGGAGTACGAAACTTGATTTGTTCCAGGATCATGGGGCGATCAATTAAATTGTTGATCATTTTGTAGCCAAATATTATTGAGGCACAGTACCTACGTTTTTTCAAAGTCAACATGTCTAAGCGACTACATAGTTCCTCATTACTTGTACATCTCTCTGGATATGTCCCATCAATCCTAAACAGAACAAACTTCTTAAACTTCCATTGTACTATTTCAATAGCTGTGCTATAGCATTCATAGTAAGGGCTCCAAATAATACTACAATATTCAACTTTGGATCTAACAAAAGCATAATATAATAGTTTAATAGACTTTATGTTATGAAAATTCCTGCAATTCCTTACTATGAAACCATAAGCCGCCAATGCTTCTGATGCTTTTTAATTTATGTGCTGACTGAAAGTTAACTTTTGATCATAGATTATACCTAAATCACGTACATCAGAGCATCTTTATAGCACATACCCATCAATAGAGTACGGATATTCGCAAACATTAATTTTCCTGTTATAGCTGACTATTTTACACTTCCTCACATTAAGCTCCAACTTGTTTTCTACACACCAAGACAGCCGAAGACTAAGAAATGAACTCCTCGTAAAAGCCCTTGGGGTAGGTTGGCGTATGTTAGGAAATTTACGTTGATACTCCCGAGAAGCCGCTAAAGCATTTCTATTACAGAACCCGTACACAAAAATAATACCGGCGTACTCATAATTGCTAAATTCCATTCCACAACACTCAAAAATAGAAAAATAAACTTTTCACTTGATTTTTCAAAAAAACAAAAATGGTAGTAGAAACGTCAAGTTGGTATCAAGCCCAACTAACAATTATCACTCCTATCAGAGTTGCAAGAATGATTATACAGTATTCCTTAAACAGCATTGTATAATGTAAGAACATTGGCAAAACCCTCTTAGAACTGCTATACAAGCTGAATGGGCACACCTAATAGGTCACTTCAGTCATTTAAGAGGTTTTATAAGGGCTGCAGGTAACAGTTATACAACAAAAGTGTAAGCCTCTTGCAGCCGCTATAGGACATTTGCGTCAGTGCAAGATTCAGTTTTTGTCAACTATACAACTATTCTGTTACGTGATTCTACTTTATGGCAACCAAAATATTTCTTATGTATTGAATAGACGAAGAAGAATATATAACTAACACAGTACAGTCATCTTGTTCACTTACATATCGGCCATTGTGAATTTCATACACAGGTATATGATAAAACTTCTACACTGTGATATAGAGCTATTGAATTACTTGCGCATCAAATTTCATTGTGATTATTGTGCAAATTAGTTATGCAATTTCTACGGGCTTCCTATTTGATTCATATTTTGATAATGATCAAAAGTATGTCTAGATTTTTACGATGGAAAACTGAATTTATCTGCGTTAAATCTTCCACAAATCCTATATTTAGACACAATTACACTAATGGTTATTACTTTATATCTGTAATTTTGAACTGAAACATAATTATTTAATATTAAATAGAGGAATAAATGTTTGCCCAATATGGCGGGTGGTTGTGTATAATCATGGCATCGTCCATGTTGTCCTTAGGTTATTAGAATATTTTGGTGTTGCCTGCAGGTGTTATACAAAAATTTGACAAATGTCTGAAATGAAATACCGATAGAGTCGAAAGATTTACCCAGAATTTGTACCAGATCTATATCTTCTGTTTGAACAGTTGATAAAACATTTTGAACCAATATGCATGCGTTGTGTGTCTTAAAACATTGGTTATGGCATTTTAACAAAAATATGCCAGCAGAAAGTTAGGTTATGGTGAAGTTGTATACCAACATATTTAGCATATGTACGGCCTTTAACAGTTACTAAACAACAGTTGTATAAGTGCTTCCGTTGGGAGCAATTTGTTGGCTAAAGTAGTAAATTGAACAGCAAAACAACAAGGCTCGGGTTTGTTTTATAAACGTTACAATGGATGCCACAATACAACCATTTTGACTAACGTGCAGATATGCCGTATAAAATAGTTGTATAAACGTTTATGCAACAGTTAAAAATTTGTCCTATAAGGTGTTGGATAACTATGCTATAAGAATATCTTAAACACCTCATTTTAGAGCAAATATGTTGCAGAATACAAATTTGCATTCCACACAACATTAAGCCAGCATTTTGGTGTTCAGGCAACAACAATAGAGAGCTTTTATGGCTGAACGGTTCTTTTACCAAAAGCTTATACCACTACTTTGCTAGTTAGGAGGGCTCCTATTTTATTTTGAAACTAATTGTATCTCGGCTCTTCATGAATAATCTAAATTGTTTTTTTGTATTCTTACGAAAAACTGCAATCTAGGAAAAAACACAAAAGTAATTATTTGTAGCAAATTGAAGGTAAAATTCGTAAAATTGCGCGTTTCGAAAAAAAAAACAGTGGCGTACTATTATTATTTGGAAAAATAATGCCACCTATTCCCTGTATATCCGCCACTGGTGCACGTTAATTTTAAGTAAAGACTTTTGAATGTGGACAATACTAAATTCATATACCAAATTTTAGTTCATTCCAGTTCACAGTTTTGAAGATATTAAAAATAAATTGTTTTTTATTTTTAAACTTCAACATCCCGTATCATTTTAAAGAAGCCCTCGAGGCAAAAATGTTACATAGAAACCTCCCTTAACCTTAAAATGCGGTCCTGCCAATGATGTTTCATTTTTGGTCACGACATTGTGGCTCACCCTGTGTAGAAAAGTTATAGGGAGTTAATCTGTAGTCGAACATGTCATATAGCATGAAAGTAAAAGTTTTCAAGTTTTTCAATAGAAAATCCGATTTAAAAACATGGAGATAGACTCTGGAGGTCAAAGTACGATCCCTCAGCGTCCCCGATGATGAATGGACCCAGCCAAGAAATCAAAGGAATTGCTGACGCCAGCTGTAGCAGTTGAAAAGGACGGAAACATCCAGCGCCAGACCCTGATCATCGAAAGCCAGGCCTGGCAAATAAAGGAGCTGACCGAGACAGTTAGGGACCAAAACAGTAAAATAGACTGCCTGACCATCCAGGTAACAAAGTTAATCAATAATGCAAATTTTAATTCTAAATCTGACAAGGATGTCAATTTAAAAAGACCTCTTGAAGATTTAACTGACGTGACATCGACCGACGATGAAATACAGAATGACGGCTTCATCCAGTCTAGGAAAAGACGCATCGACAAAACGAACAAAACCGACAAGACGGATGACTTCCCACCTCTTCCAAAAGCAAAATCAAATTTCAAGTTGACAGTCCCTACAAAACCTTCTGTTTCATTAAACGTATCAACTTCTTCTGCCACTTTTCCTATGACGGTCCATGCAGTGACCACATCTTCTCAATATTTGGCCACTGCATTGACTGACGGTGCATTATCTCAACAATCTCACGTTGCTTGTGAGTTAACCAGCACAGTGTAACGGTTTCACCGTCCGATTGTATTTATTAAATCACTTCTCGATTTTCATTTCAGAATCGCAACTCATTAATCCCATCTCTAGCTTATCCCATCTGTAGCTTTTTTTACTTGGAAACATTTCCGCTTGGAGCGCGCTTGATGCGGAGTTCCTGATCTGTGATCTTCCTCGCGCTTCTTTTTCACTTGAGCCGCTGATCTAACAAGAGCTGAGAATTTTGTTCTCTGTAGCATGAGGTCATATAGCACCATGTGCTAGCATTTTGTAAAATGTGTGTCCAAATAGGATAAAATGATTGGGACCACCCCCTTTGCCTTTACCTTTATCTTTGACTTTCCCTTCGCCTTTGTCTTTGACTTTCCTTCCTTTGTCTTTGACTTTGCATTGCTTGGCCTATCACTTTGCCATGCATGTGCCTTGGCAGCGCCATCACCTTTAAGTTCAACTTCACTGCATCCTTCGCCTACATCTGGTTTTGAAGCCACTAAATGTGAGGTCACCCCTCATAGCTGGGACCTCCACTTGAAGCCCTTGGCCATCCTCGCTTCAGTCCAGTCAAAATGGACCAGCTTAGCGAAAGATAAGTGGATAGTTGTAACAGCGCCAAAGATTTAAAACTTTTATTTTGTTTAAAATTGTAATGTAATGAAAATGCTTTTCTAGTTAAATAAAATCTGTTAAATTTTTGTGTTCTGTTTGTTCTTCTATCCTCTAGCCATGCCATGGTCGACACACAGCTACACGCCTGTAGATGTCTTCATGCCACCGACTGAGCTACCGGAAGCTAATGGTAACCCCCTTTCTGTGATTGTGCATGAAAGTTGGAATCTTCTTCTTTTCTGGACTTTTGCGGAAAGAAAGGTTTACAACAGCACCCCGCCAGAGGCGAATCACGCCCATTGTTTTGCGTGATGCGACCAAGTGGCGACATCTAAACTACACCTTTATAAGCTTAGGCATTAAGATAGAACGCGCAGTTGCCGTTGATGCGGGAATCAGGATTTTGCCGAAAACTGAGGATGACTACCGAAGAATCGTTCGCCTGTTCAGGGAGGAGGACGTGCCCCATCATACGTTCCCTCTTCCTTCAGAACGAAATATTCACGCGATAGTCAGAGGCATGCCCGCAATGTTTTCGGAACAGGAGATCAAAGGGGAATAAGAACAGAGGGGATATACTCCTCTCCACATTATCCGACTCAAACGCAGTGGCGGCGCACCCATGCCTTTGGTGGTCGTGATACTGCCCAAGACTGAAAAGTCCCAGCAGCTGTTCAATGAAAAAGAACTCTCGACTTATTGGGCAGTGTCACCGCTGCCAAAGGTATGGTCATGCGCAGTCTTACTGCACAACACCTCCCTAATGTTTAAAATGTGCTTCCGACCACATGACACATTTATGCCCCTTCACAGGACAAGAGGAGCGAAAGTGTGCGAACTGTGGAGGGGCGCATCCCGCTAACAGTCCCACTTGCAGATTCACCCCCAGGTGAAATCTGGAAGTCATAGCGCAAAGACGCAGCAAGTCATACGCGGAAGCAGCCGTCTCAACATCTTCGGCTGCGCCGTCTGTTCAACCCACTTTAAACACGCAGAATGTGGACCTAGCAACTGCGCTTAGGTCCCTTCAACAAATAATAAGTCCCCTGATTAGCGTTACTCAGGCATTGCAGGCGATCTTTCCGCAGCCATTGAATGGCTAAGTACAATGGACAACCTGCATTTATCATCTGTCAGGTATCTTGGAGTCATCATTGACAAGGGGTTCACCTGGCAGAAACATACTGATATTTTGAAAACAAAATTCCAAATTACCTTTCGGCAGCTTTATCCTCGGTTGTGCAGAAATTCACAATTAAGTTTGATCAACAGGATTCGGTTGTATAAAATGGTCAAAGACCCGCAATCACCTACGCATGCGCGGCTTGGTGTTTTCTTGCCAAGACGCACATGCAAAGACTGCAAGTCCTGCAAAACAGAACCCTACGGACAATTACTAACGCCCCTTGGTACGTGTCCAATGAGACTTCACAGAGATATTGATATCCTATATTTAAGGGATTACGTAAAACAACAGGCGCAGCGGCGTTATAATCAAGCAGAATCGCACAACAACCCTCTGTTGCGTGATTCAGTAGACTACACAGTCGAGCAAGTTCGCAAACATTCCAGGCCGCGCCTCGCACTGTGATCAAAATTAAATTGTAAATTCAGACCACCCAAAATTATTTCAGTATACAAAACCGATCAAAATTATTTTTTTGGAGTTACAAAATAATTCGAGTAGTCAAAGCAATAATGCGTAAGCTGTTTCAAATGATTTACTTCTTTTCTTTGCTCCATTTCTTCCTTCCTTTCTTTCCTTCTTTCCCTTTTCCCCTTAAACATGTTTGGTATCTGGGTAGCCAGACCTGACAGACTAACAGACCGACGAGACTTTTAACTAAGAGCAAAGGTCCACCGGACCGCTCTGACGAATAATGACGAATAGTATAGTCATATAGCATCTAAAAACTTTTTTCCGATTACAATACTTCCTCGCCACTAGGCTTGGGAAGTAAAAAATGAGCCATGTAGATCGACCCACCTGAGAACCCGGTATTGTACTGTATTGGAGTCGCCGGTAATCCACCCTGTCTCCTAGACGTCCACTGCTCATCGGTAGGTGGCTGTCCAGTGAATCCCTGGTTGAAAGCATCTCTAGGTGTGGAAGAGGCTTTAGCCTGCGCCTGTAATCTACAGTGTTCGCAGGGCATCTTACTTTTTGGAGTTGATGGTGACCATTGGCTGCCAGCGTGGAGCTGGTCAATGAAAGCTGTGTTGTAAGCCCCTCGGGGAGTAGCCTGCGATTTTACATTAACAAAATGGCGTCAAGCTAGCTGACTCTGGACTTCCTACACAACGTTGTCATCAGTTCGTAAAGGATTATGTTCGGCACAGGTTAACCCTGAGAAAAAAGTTAGGTACGATCATGTATAACAAAAAAAAATAGATCTAGTTCATTGATTCCCAAAGTGGTCTATATCGACCCCTAGGGGTCTATGACAACCTGCAAGGGGTCTACGTCAGCGAAAAGAAATTTGGGGGTCCATGAAATGTATATATGGGGTCCACGATAGTGGATCTCAACACATACACTGATAGTACCTATTTACTTACATCATACTATCTTATAATATCAAAATATATACATTATTTATAAAAGTACCTATGAAGTAAAAAATTTATTATATATGTTTATAAAATTGTGTAAGTTGTAGGATGTTGGTATTCGCTTTGTGGTCGCAATACATTTTGAACTTGTAAAAACCTGAGGGTCGCAGTCTCAGAGCTTCGCTACCTTGCACTGACTTGTTCAATTCGTCACTCTATAAATACGATGGGACAAATACGTTTATTCGTTTCCTGAATCTTGAAAAGGAAAGTGCTAAGAAAATATTTTGCCGGACAAACAATCGCCGATGTGCCTTTTATGCAACAAAGTTTTGGGCAATGACGCTATGAAACCATCTAAACTGCAAGATCATCCGAGAAGAGATGCCACCCTGATAAAACAGAGAAAGATTTGAAATACTTTCAAACACTCAAAGATAAATTTCAGAAGATACCTACACTAGACAGAATGTTCGCTTCGGCGTCACAAAGAAATGATGATGGTTTGCGGGCGTCTTACAATATCTCGTTACTTATAGCAAAATCCGGAAAAGCGCATACTATCGGAGAGAAGTTAATTTTGCCAGCCGTTGAAGAGGTTTTGAAAACTGTTTTACACAAACCTGCATCTAATATCATTAAAAGAATTCCCTTAAGCAACAATAATGTTGAAAGACGTATTGATGAAATGAGTTCTGATATTGAAAGCTTCTTATGTAATTATTTGCAAACGACCCATTTCTCTATACAACTAGACGAGTCAACTTTACCTGATAATGCAGCATTATTATTGGCATATGTTCGTTTTATTATGAATCAAGAAATCTACGAAGAACTGCTCTTCGCAAGAACTTTGATAACCGACACTAAAGGTGAATCAATATTTCATGTTTTGAAGGATTACTTCATTGAAAAAGCAATTACTTTATCAAATATAATATCAGTAGCTACAGATGGAGCACCTGCCAAGGTTGGACGTTATCGTGGATTTATAAGCTATTTAAAACAAAATGTGTCAGGGGTATTAGCAATACATTACGTCATGAAAATGACGAACACTTGCATCAATTACTCCTTCACACTGAAGTACGCTGGCTGTCGAAAGGCTTATGTTTGACAAGATTTTTTGCACTTTTTGAGACTATTTTAGAATTTCTGGATACTAAAGATAAAATTTTAAAAGAAAATTTAATGAAGAGGAAAACAGACATCGCCTATTTAACAGATTTGTTTACAACATTTAATATGGTTAATTTGCAATTACAAGGCGACAGTTTAAATTTGATTAAAACAAAGTCCATCTTATCAGCGTTTCCTGCCAGAGTTAAACTAATGAAGCAAAATATTGGACGGGGCGAATTTTCTCAGTTCCCCAATTTGTCACAGACAAGTTGCCAGGAAGACGACGTTTCAACTTACGTTCAACATTTAAATGCCCTCTATTCAGATTTTGAATCTAGGTTTGAGGATATTTTGACTATGGTAATACCACCGTGGATAATTAATCCATATGGTGATATAGAAGAAACGAATGTCATAATACAAGAGGAACTGACTGAACTAAGTACAAACGAACAACTTCAGTTTAAAAACGGATATCAGCAATTCTGGCTGCAAAACAACATACCCGTTACTTATCCCGTATTATAGGAATATAGCGAGGACATTTTTAATTTCCTTTCCATCATCATACCTAGTGGAAATGGGGTTCAGCGCTGTTACCAATCTCCTAACAAGAAAAAAGAAACAGTCTGGACATCATTAGCCGAGGAGATTTAAGATTAACCCTTACAAAATTGACGCCAAATGTTGATAATCTATTATTAAAGCATCAGGTTCATCCTTCTCACTAAAAATATTGACTTATTGCTTATGTTATTTTATTTATAGTTTATTTTATGTTTATTGGTGTCTGACCAATAAATGCCCGCATTGGGAATAAGTGCCCGCATTGATTTTTCTAAAGAACCCCCCTTTATAGAAAATATATTTTTTTTAAATTATTCTGAAAATTCAAGGATAGGTACACACTAAAATTCGTTAATTTTTTGCCTAGTTTTAGATAACTTAAACGTATAAGAAGCGGAATTTAATCAAACTAACAGTGAAATTATTGTAGAACATACGTTTATGTTATAATTAATAAACGAACTCGCTTATTGTACTATTTTAAGTAAAAAACTTTTTTTATTATTTTTCACTTTTTTTTATTTTATCCCTCTTATTTTTTTTTTTCAATGCGGGCACCTATTCCCAATGCGGGCACTTATTGGTCAGACACCTGTTTATTTAATGTTACGTATATTTTACATAACAGATACAAAATTTTATTTTGAGTAGTTTTAATTTAAATTCAATCAATAAATGTATAAATTAACATGTGTTTTTACTTTAAGTTTTTAACACTAAACTTCACTACAGTTAGAAATTTACAGGAAATCAATATCAGGTAAGTAGGGGGTTTACCCAACACGGAAAAACATGGCAAGGGGTCTACGACACAAAAAAGTTTGGGGAACTCTGATCTAGTTAGTCAAACAGGCTCATACAATTAAAATTTGCATGCTGTATACAATTTTGAGGCTCTCTAGAATTTGCCCACATGAGAAAATATTCTACCTCTCGGTCTTCAAAACGTTCGTGTTACTTTTCGTCGGTCTGTATGTCGGTCTGTTTACCCACTAATCCTTGGCCCCTCTATAACTTGGAACGTATCACTCGGATTTTGATGAAATTTCCACCCAAGGTTACTAGTCCGCCAAGGACGAAAAAGCCTGTAGTTTTTGAAAATCGATCCAGTGGTGGCGGAGCTTCGAGGCAAAAAATGAAAAAAAATTATTATCGTTCAAACTTAGTTTTTGGTGCTTCTGATTGTTATAGGTCCCTTTATGGATATAAGTTTATAGTTTTTTAACATTTGGTATGTGCTTTGATTATTTTTCAAGGAAAGATGAAGGTCATGCGACTCTTGCGAGGCGTCGACGAGGCGATATACTTACTTTATTTATTTTACTTTATTTATATATTTCTCAACAAGATCCGATTATAGAGAAACACTATGCAGGTGTAGAAAAACAAATAGACACAAGGATTCATGATTTTAAAAGAACCCTATGTATGTATATCAGAAATCCAACACAAAGCTACATCAGTGCAGTAGTAGCACTCGCAACTTAATATATTTCTGAATGTTCATTCTACTCCTAAAATACATAAAGATGCATACTAAAAGATACTGATAAGCTAACAAAGGTTTACGTCACTGAACAGTTTTTAAATATAACAATATTCTTCTTTTATACAGGGTCGTTGAGTCATTTATTTTAACAGTGAGTAGATCTGATCAAAAGAAATGTTTTTTTCCTTTAACATATTTGTGGTAAAATTAAAGTAACAAAGTTATAGCCCTTTAGAAGTTTGAGTACCGCCCTGTCTCAATAATAATACTATGTACTCGTGTTTGGCAACAACGGATATACTCCGCCTTATCGGTTCATCGCATCGGAAACAAAAAACCGAACGAATTTGAAACGCTGATCACGATGTTTTTATTCAGTCAATGTGTCAGTCGGTAACGCGTGAGTGAATAGTGGTGTTTGCTGCGTGGCTCAAAAGAAATAAAAAATGGCACATATTTATGCGGATCGGTTTCCCAATCGAGTGCAACCAATCGCTCGTGCCTTTGTTAATGTATTACAATGGGCTCATGAATCAGGTGACTTAAGACCTCACAGGGGAGGGCATGCCGGTGCTCCAAGACCTCACGATCAAATACAGGTCCGCACTGAAATACTTGTCGGGAGGATACTTTATAAAACAAGGTAAATTTTTTTTTTTAATTTTTTTATATAAACATAGGTCGAAAAATGAGTGGCTTCCGAAATACAGGGTGTTTAAATTTACTTTCTAAAATAGTTTTTTTTAAATATTTCGAACAATATTTTATGTATAACAGTGAAAATTGGTAAACAAGGGTTTTTTGGTACGACAAAACGAACCATGGGCATAGTTTTACTATAGCCGCTAGAGGGCGCTCTCTACTGTACCTGTAGTGTATAAAAATGACCGAAAAATTTTTCTTAATGCAATTTTTTGCTTTTTGAATAAAAAACTGATTCTTCGCACTTTTCAACATAAAAAAGCTCTCGTGTGAGTTTTCGTTATAGTTAGCCGTTTTTGAGATATTTTGATTTTTAAGGTTCGATGCATTTTTAATTATTTATGATAAAATAACGTTAAAAAGTCAGTATCTGGATAATTTTTAGAAGTAGGTTGAGCCTGCAAAAATTTTTGACATTGAAAGTAGAATAAGGTTAAACGTCAATTAGTTGACAGTTAGTTTTGTTGTCTGTTGAAACCTGAAACGTTTTTTTGCAACTGTGAATGCACGAAATTTAGTTTCTTTCACCTGTTTTTTTTTGTAAGTTTTATAAAAATGCCATTTTTATTCTCCAATCAAGAGTTAGCGGATATTCATTTTGTGTATGGCTTTGTAAATGGAAACGCAGCAGACGCAGCCAGAGAATACGCACGAAGATTTCCAAACAGACGACATCCAACTCGCTCAGTATTTGTAAGAGTGCATCGCCAAATAATTGAAAATGGTTTTGGAAATCTCCAATAGGATCAAAACATAAATGTTTGTCAGCGCAGATTTACCGTTATGATTCTACGTGAGTTTGATAGAGAT